TGTGCGTGAATCCGCGCGGATATATGACGTCAGGATGGCGCAATTTGTTCTAAAAATAGAAAAATTGTCCCATATCATAGGTGCGTGCGAATCCCGAGACTTGCGGTCTCCGTCCCTGATTATGGCTCCTGGTGATATATATTTCTGATTTATGAACAATTTAGATACTACCGTGAGCCTGGGATCCTTTTCAAAACAGCAACAGTAATGAGAACCATCATTTTTGTGGCCACAAGACACTTAAATAATGAAGAGCTCTTTGTCAAGTAAGACTAATCTAGGTGGACTGTAGACTGCATGGGGAGGAACACTAAAACTCTGAGGATGTGAGCAGTGATGAGTGGTGCGGCATGACAGGCATGAGCTTCAGCACTAACTGCTGCTTTTTCTCTCAATCTTTTGTGTTAATTCTTCCCTGTGAATTCTTGAACAAAAGAGTTATGACCCAAATTTTGTCACAGACAAGTGTGCCTGGGATAACAACAGAGCCACTTGAGTAGCTAGAAGTATTTTTACCCGGGGGGGGGATCCCCCACAATACCTATACGGGTATGTGCTGCCTGACGGGGTCATTATTTTGGAGCTCCTGATCTAGAACAGGGTACCCATTTTCGAGACGTCCCGTAGAATGGGGTATAATATTGTGAACGTATGAACGTATGAAAGCTCATCAACTTATCAGCAGCCATTTGAAATTATTCATAGAGAATGTGCATAACGAAAGGTTTTAACGAACAAATCAAACCATTGCACCCTGTGTTTTGCGCGTTACGCCATCGTAAGTTAGTTATCGTGGGGTTATGGTGTGATATAACACGTCCGATAACACTTGCGTGGTTCTGTGTGGGGGTGAGTGACATTCCATAACAATTAACACATTGTGAAATGGCAAAATACTTATGATCAGATACAAAGTCGATCAAAGCGGCATGATCATGTACGATTAAAATCACAAATAATCAGGTGTACAAGCAGCTTTGTCATATCTAGTCTGGATGTATGGGTCAACCAAATAAGGAAATAACTTTTCAAAACAATGGGCTATTGAAATTTACTACATTTATAGAACGGGGTATTAAAGATTGACCTATTTCTAAAATTTCTCTAAACAGACCCTATGTTAACTTAAACATCAGTGGTCCAAGTAGATGCGTGGCTGCCTGGTACAGTGCAAATAATTCAAAAGTTATAAATAGTAAATGAAATAGTGCCAAAAAGGTCAATTATTTAGCAGTTGTTTTGGGTCTGGCCCTTCTTTTGTGAAATATTAATTTAAATTATTTTGTTTGGTTCTGATTTCAGTTATCGCTTGAACCCCTCCTCCAAGCTACCAGATTGGTATACTCCTGTCAACTTGATAGAAGATAAGCGTCGCTGGAATGCAGATTAACTAAGGATTTAGAAACCTTAAATAAACTCAAGTGCATTTGCAGGGCAA